TAGTTAGTTAGTTAGTTAGTTAGTTAGTTAAGTGTTTTATGGAAATAAACATCTGTTTACTCCAAGAAATACAGACATATATCTTTTTAGTGGCATTTAAATAGAAACAGTAAGCAGACTGGAAGTTCAGCTAAAAACATGGAGAACAGAAAGAATGTATTCAATGACATAAATACAATGTCTAGCACTAAGCACAGGACAATTCAAAGATCTCTTTGTTTAAACTGTTATATGAAAGAAGCAAAGCAATTGGTGTTTCCTGTCTTAAATTATATAGAAAGAACATTTTGTTGTGTGCAATGTTTTATAATTATATCACCATATTCCTTAGCAACAAATTCCACAGCATCCTAAAATACATAGTAAAGTCTATTGCTTCATTTTGCCTGTACATATCACTGCATTTTGTATCACAAGTGAAAATATAAAATGACTGTACAAGTAGAAAATCACCATAAACAGTGGAAAAGTCTGATTGCACACATTCATTATAAATGCTCCCATGACACTACAGAATTCAGTAAACTCTAGGAAAGCTTTTTCCCAACATTACTTCACTATATAGCTATCTTGTCCATCTCTAAACCATGCACACATGGTTCTGCTTTAAATTGCTGTTTTTGTGCCCTCTTCTGAATAATGACCCTAAACCTATTTACTTTCTACTGGATATTTATGCATTTAGCCGTTCACCAAAAATATTTTGGGTATTTCCATCATGATCATCAAAACAGTAAAAGATTTACTATTTTCACATGTCACATACAGCTTTCATTCATCATGAAACTAATGCAAGCAATGGAATAAGCATAATGGTTCTATATTCTTTTACAAAAAACTTTATGTGAGACATTTAGAGAGATAATACATATCTCATGAGATAACTGAAACCTCACAAAGACATACTAAAAGATCTCTTTTTGTGAGTAACTAAAGATTCACATCTTTTACTGTAAAGGAATTAAAAGACATCTGTGTATCATGATAAATGTGAATGAATACTTCATATTAATATAATTCAAGGGATATGCTGTTTTGTTACTATTCATGACAGCAACGGGAAAGAACTTTTCTACTGGACTACAATTTTACTCAGACCTGTGATGACAAGAAGTCATAAAATTAACATTTAAATGCACTAACATTAATAAATTCAATATTTAAAAAAATATTTCACTTATCATCACAAATTTATGAGATAATGTTTTTCTACTTGAACATGCAAACTCATTCAGTTCATACAAAGGTACTATAAACAAATACACTCTTGCCAAACATGTGCAAATATCTATCCTATTAAGTAATTAAAGCCTTCTTGTGCATACTTTAAAGCCATATCACTGATGCTTATGGAAATGTGGTGTTTTCATTTGAAACAAAGGTCAACTACTTCAGACCACTTATTTATGTGTCCCTACCATTAATTAAAGACTATATGTATGCATTAGGCCAAAAAAGTTTCACTTTGGTGATCACAATTTTCATAATAGTAAGGTCAATTGATATGGTGGCTGTTGCAATGCGGATACGCACTGTTACAGAGACAGGAGTTGCATGATACAACAAACAAAAAGTTAGACTGTGTCTCAAGCATATGTTTTCCATCAGCACATGGTCTCTGATGTGGGCAACGGGCTTGCTTTGTCGTCAGTCCCTGATCTTGTTGCCCGTTCAGGTACAGTCTCTGTGTGAAGAACCTGCAGTTGCTGGGCATCAATGTCAGTGCAGAAGATGGCTGGCATGCCTTGTGCACGTGGGGTGGGGAAATCTTTCACTTCTATGGCACTGCTGCGTTGAAGGGAACGACTGCGGAACTCAGGCGCCTCACTGGTCACTTTGAGGAAAAAGGCACTACTTTCTGCAGCCTCCTCTTCATCATGCTGATGTATCAATGTCTTCATCAGCTGGTAATCATTTTCCTCAGCATCTCGCAGATGCTCCTTTTCCAGGTAAAGAGCCATCTCAGGGTTAGACAGTTCTGAAGTGTGGCGAGTTCGGTGAGGCTTATTCTCACCAGGTCGTGGAGGTGACAGCAATCTGGGTGTGTGTGGGGGACTGAGAAGGCCACACACTGTTTCAAGCTCATCTGTGATGCTTGTGTATTCTGAATGCATGGCTAACAGCACTGCACGTGGATTGGATTTGGTACTGGGGGGTATCACAGTTATTCGGGGCTCCGCCCATGTCACACTGCGTTCTACTACAGCTGCTCGTGGGAAGTCATTATCTTCCTGGGAATCAGGTCCAATGGCATTCTCTGGTTCAGAATGGGTCTTGCTGATTTGTCGTCTTGCCAGTGCAGGACGCTGCATCACACTGCCTCTTTCAGAACCATCACTGATTTCAAGGCTGTGCTTTCTGTTACTTTTTGTACTGGAGTCCCTTCTCTCTGGTCGAAAATCTGAAGAGTTACTTCTAAAAAAGTCATGTGACTGTGTACTGCCTTGATTTTCTCCAACATCTGCTATGCCTTCTTCATTGCTTCCTGAATGGCTGTCAGCTGGCTCCAAGAGGGAACTGCGTGACATACTCATCTGTTTAGTAAGCTGATATGGTACTCTCTTCCTGGCAGGCTGTGACACCTCTGATATTCCACCTTCTTCTTCTTCTTCTTCTTCTTCTTCCTCACGTTCTTCCTCAGATTTGGAAATTTGTTTATCTGTGTTCCAATTATCATCATCTAGCCGCTCATGCAAAATTTCACCAAGCAGAAATGAATCAGGCCTAACTTCTGTAAGGGAGCGTGTGGGCCTCTTTCGTTCTCTGCTCAACACGGGTTGTAAATGAATCTTTTCTGAAGTTTCTGACAAAGTCTTGAGATCATCAGACCTCTCACTATAGAGTCTTATTCTTTCACTACCCAACTTGATATCTGGTAAATCAGACATGGACAAAGGATCCCGCACATGAGTTGCCATAAACCGATGGATAACTGCCAGGTGAGACAATGTTTGGTCAGCAAGGTCCTCCAATTTCCTTATGCGAAACTCAACGCCTTGAATAGCTGTCATTTGATTGTTTTCCTTCTGATTAATGTCTTCTACTTTCTGGTACATGTTTTCTACTCTGTCAGCTGTGTTCTTGATGCGCTCATCACTTGACATATGCAATTTTGATTCTTGCTCTCGGAAGTAACCCTCCACACACTCTTCTTCAAAATCGTACAGTCGTTCCAAGTCATCATGGTCCAGAAATAGTTTCAGGGCATTGTCATACAATTCTCGGACACCACGGACTTTACGGTGACAATATTTGAACAATAGAAATGCATGGCACAGCACAATGAGTGGTGGAGGAAGTACAGGTTTCTCTTCATACTCCATGACAACTGTGAATCGCTGGAACATCCAAACTTGATGTGAAATGGCATTCACCTCATTGAAAATGTTGTTGAAGACAGCAATAAGCAAATTGATAAGAAGAATGTTAGCCACAAGGAGGTAAATCGCCATTGCAGCAGGAGTAATCCAATGACCCATCTGACACTTTTCCAAGCCAGGGTCATCACCACATGGAGGGTCAATACTGTCTGCAAACACTTCACCATACAACATGAAGTATGGCTGGAAGAAGAGTTCCCGAACTAGAAACCAACTCGGCTCCTTGTCTGGGTAGAGAATTGACTGACGACACACTCCAAAACTCATCAATACCACAAGGAGAAGAACAACAAAGTAAATCATGTTCTTGACCATCTTTCCCATCATTGTGACAAGTGGGCCAAGATACTTGTTCACACCCAGGATATTCAGAATACGAAGGTACCAGTAGACAATGTCTACACAGAAAATAAGACGACCAACTTGCATTGAGGAGACGCGCAGACGCAGACATAACCCTATGAGAAAGAAGATTATGGCTGCAGCATCACACGGGTTCCACATGTTCCATGCCCAAACTGAGAGCTTGTGGCTGAAACAAGAAAAAGTATTACTGACACATGTACCAGGCATAAGCATTCAGATCACAGATGTCAGATTACAAGAATGTCATACCTGATGGCAACTGGCTCTGAGGATACAATTTCTCTTACTTTCTCACAAGCCAATGTGATTACATAAGCAATAGTGTACAGCTCCTGCCACGAAGGTTTAATGTCCGTCTTCACCAGCACCACATACGTGAAAGTTACCAAGAAGACAATATATGCAATCTGAAATGTAACTAATGTTGTAATAATCCACCAGGTTACTACAAATCCAAATGAAATTCAGAGTCAAACCATTTACTAACTTGTGGATTATTTAAATATAGCAAGATGTCAGAGCAACGCCGTTACTTACTGAGTGTCCCCAAAACTTTGTTATTGGTGCAGTGTAGAACTCATACAGTTTCTTTCTGAGTCTCAGGGGTCGGTTGTTTTTCACTTCAAAATAATCCAAAGGTAAATGGAAATGCTGGTTCATGTCATCACCTTCAGTTACAACTTTTCCATTTTCCTGAACAATGGTGGCTCTCATACCATAATTTCCATGAGCAATCAAAGTCTGTAACAACAAAAACAGACAATAAGAATGAAATGAAAATCCCACAGCAAAATTACTTCCAATGCAGAAAGATAATATGCTTGCATATTCAGTGCACATAAATTGGTTGTGAAGAAAACTATGATTTAAAAGTGAACTTTTATTTTAAATATTTGTTTCTCACCATGAGAAAAGAAACAGAGTGTGCATACACACCACACTTCATAGAAACTGAATCCTGTGATAAATGCTAATGTAAACTGGGAGTCATGCCAAACAATCTCTGAATGGAGAGTCCTGCCATCTGCTGTCATTAAAACAGATGGAATTGAACTGATGCCCCAAAATTTCAATTTTTAATAGCAATTTAAACTTCGTGAAATCATGGTTCTGAAACTAACATTTCAGTAATTTGTTTAAATTCACAGTCTATTATGATTGACCTTTACAGAGTTTCCACATATAGTACTTCACTAATTTAATGACTGTTACACACATACACAATAAAATATTACTGCCACCTTCTGGTCACAAACTAAACATTACAGTTACCTCAAGCAATATACAGAATTACATAATTAGTGGCCAATATGAGAAAAGAATGAAATGAATTAAAATTTTAAAAAAGGCTTAAATTATCTTACACATTCTTTCCATTTCTTGGTAACCATGCCATTTATTTAGCCTACTTCTTACAGTCACTTATACGTTTTCTAAATGATAAATACATAAAATACCTTCATTTTACCAGTGTTAAGGTTCACAAAATTATCAGAGCATCAGTTTTGAACAGAATGCACAGATATACAATCTTCATGTAATTAAAAATAATTAAGCTACTAATATACAATTACATGATGCAAGTGTTCAGATGAACTGTAATCTGCCAATAGCATGCTATCATACTGCACATTAATGTGCTGAACCATTCCATGACATGCTAAGTTGCATCATTTAATCAGAAGCCTATTTTGAGGTTTGGTAATGCAATGACTATATTTAGTAACGCCTGTACAGATTTTGCTGAAGATGCTTCGACTGTACTGTCAAATGGACTAACACAACACCACAAAAGTGCCAAACATTAGCAGCTTTAAACCAAATAAATAAAAATACTGAAGTCTAAATAGCAATTTATATTGAACATATGGAACAAGACGTAAACACTTATATTGGACACAAAGGACAAGATGTGCTGAACACTTATTTCACAAAAACATGTCAAACAACACATGCAACTCACTGGATATTTTTCAAACTCTACTGTAAAGTTGCCACCTGGACATTTTCAAATTTAGAAAGACATGAGAAATGCTCACTGAACTACACACACAAAATTCTATGGTACAGTGGATAATGCTTGTTAGCTACAGAAAGCAACTCCAAGTATTAAGCAGTAAACAACTGGTGGGATATTTTTAATAAATTTATAAAATTAGTGAAATGGAAATGATTGTCACAGTGTGGTGATCCATCAAACAGTACAATGCAAGCAACACACAGTGGAGTTATGTTCGACAACCACAACACACTACATACAAAGTTATGAGATTTATGCTGTGTCCAAATACAAACAGCTAGAATTTACTGACAAGTTGAACTGTAGAAGGTAAGACATTCATGAAGGAATGAAATGAATTACTGCCTTTGAGAATTTTATATTAACTAACAAGCTAATTTATGACAGATACATGATCATGCTAAAATTCAACTCCATCCTAGCATTACTATTCATACTATGACTTATCTAGACCATAGAATTTAGTAGCACAATAAAAAAATGTAAATGAGATTTTCAATCATGGAACACAAAATATCAGTTGAAACAACGGATACAACTTGTTGTTCAGTATCAAACTCGTTTATTATTATGAGACTTAATTACCTCAACAGACATGTCTTTAAAAATTGTCAAATATCTATGGTCATTTAAAGTATGATTACTAAAAGGAAGAAAGAGAGTAGGGCAGAAAGAAAGAAAACAAAAGACATAACAGAGGCATAATATTACATAAATGTTCCTTAATTTTCTTTAACCCATCATGGAAAGGAGAGAAACATTGAATCTTATAAACAAAGACCAACAACATATTATCAGTTGCAATTAATTAAACTACATAATAACATTGTACAAAAACAGAGATGGTGACAGTGCAGTGTGCAGCAGTTGTGTTACTTGCTTGTGTCTGCAACACTGACACAAGCAACGACTGAATGGTGCGACAAAAAGACTGGAGTTGGCTCTGTGCTACTTTGCATTGCCCCTTTCCATCACTTCACATCAAAAATTAGCAATACACACGAACACAACACACAGCTTCACTACCTTGGTACCCTGCTGGCCTGCTGAGTTGCTCCTGACGCTAAACTTTCGTGGATTGTTCTAAAAGAAATGTTTCATTTGTTTAATGCTTCTATTTATGGTCTTATTTCAAAACTAACCTATTTGTAATTAATTAATTTTATACTAAGAACAATTATATATATATATATATATAAGAACAATAAATGTATGAAGCTGGAACCTTCTGAATATAAAGTTTACTGCTATAATGTAACATTCAGTTCAAATCAAAATATCAGTATAAACTAATTTTTTTACATTAAATAACAATGGCACTAAAACATTGTCCTGTTGTATTTCACTCCACAGCATAACACTTTATTTCTTTCTTATAGTTGAGAGCAAAGTCACAAATTTTACAGCTATGCAAAAGCTTCACTTGAAAGGGTCTAAATTTAGACGTCCAATAAACCAGCTGGCAGCCCTGGCAGACATTCAACAAAAACTCATCATAGAACACTGTGATAACACTAACACAGTTACACTATAGTATGCAAAATAACAAGTTTATAGCCTGCACACACCTAAGATTTAGCAAAACTACTCTATTTCACTGAACACAATATGTTACTTTCTTTATGGGACAGAAAACTGATATTCAGTTCCAGAATGCCTGTTTATGTGAGCAGTTTCCAGCATGGCTATAAGCTTACCTCTGCATCTGGATCCACGTTGTGATGGGACTCTGTGGACTGCCCCTCTGTGCTCTCATTTTCTTCCTCAAGACCAATCAAATGTTCCTCTTCAGTCTGGGGCATCAGCTGCAGTTCTTCTTTGGACTTGAAGTCCAGTTTTGCAATGTAGAATGGACACAGCAGTCCCAGTATCACCTACAGTAACAGAACACTGAATGTTTCGTTTTCCTCAGCCAGTATGTGTCATGATGTGCTATGCTTACTGAAGTTGCACAGATGCAAAAATACCTCCAACACATGGAGACAGATTAATTGAAAGATTATTTAACAATGTGTTTCACTTCAACTCTTACGTAGCACTGAATGAAACAGTGACAATAGTAAATGGTGAAATGGTGAAGACTTGGAAGCAGGCATTATCCCAGCATTCACCTGGTATGACTGAGGAAAACATTACATAACCTAACTCAAGAAAACCAGAAACCTGACCAAGATTGTGTGTATCTCTTCAATGTAACAATTTTTGATCAGATAACAAAACATCTGTATGTCGCAAAGCACCAGTGGTACCTGCATTCAGAAAGTGTTTTACATGTAACTTAAGTAAATCTTTGTCTATCACAATGCCTAACAAATCAATTTTCTATACAACCAACCAATGAAAGTCAGCAACAAAATAAATGAACTATAAGCTTTCAATTATGTGCAACAACTAGTTTCTGGAACTCCCAATCCCAGGAAAGAAAAGACTTACTACATGGCACGAGCACACATTACTGAACTGTAACACACATCGTGACGTCCGTCATAGAATTATGAAGGGGCAAGACCACAGAACGGAACTGACGCATCACACTGCACTCGTTTGGTGTCCTCACCTACGTCCGTACAAAAGTACGTCTGTTGCACATTCCACTGACAAGTCAGAGCAGGAAAGCAAAATAGCAAGCTTCACTACAGTAATAAAATATACCAATGGGCAAATAACTACATTTCAAAAGCAGTTACAAGAAAAATTTTCTTTGAGTTTTAATGTTGTATTTGCATTTCTAATTTTATGTGTAATTTCTCTGATATCGCACCTTAAGGTTGGTATTTTTGCGTGTGCGTAAACCGCCCATCCAGAGATCAGCAAGTATGATCTGACTGCAGGGGTGAGCAAGTAGAGCCCTATGATTGGCTGCTACTGCCAGACTCAAGCAGGTTTGTCCACTCCAGTTCTGCAATTCACACGTCAACAGCTGCTGCGTCTGGTCATCATGCTGCCGGTAGCAGAAATCCAGGAGCTCCAGAGCTGCAAGACAATTCTACAGTGCAGCCTACTCTATTTCAGCTGAATCCAGTCTACACCATCATATCGTGTTCCCTTAAGATCTATTTTAATATTGCTCTCACAACAAACCTGTGTCTACCTAATGGTCTCTTCCCTTTAGGTTTCCTGACTGAAATAAACTGTGCATCTGGATCTTTTAATCTTTATATTTTTAGGCAGGGGAAAAACTGGATGAAACAGTGAATTTCTTCATTGACATTTTATTATAATCGTAGACACCAACATTTTAGAGAAACATGTCTCCATCTGTCTCTGAAACACTGGTATCTACCCGTAAGTTCACAACCCAAAATACCAACACTAACATCATCATCACTGTGAGATCCTTATATCTCTTAGTGTAGTATGACACTCAGCAAGAGCAGTTTAAATACAAACCTTGAAGAATCAGCTGAGGACAGAGGTAAGACAAACTGTGTAAAATGAAGCAACCAGCTTTGATGATGAGAATGAAAATGTTAGATATCATTTTTATGACTACATTTTTCCATAACATTCTTTGACAGTATGATGCTACAAATGCAAACCTTCAAGAACAGAGCCATGACATATTCACTGTCGTAAATTTGTTTAATTGACTAAAGAAATACGTGAATGCACTATGTGAAAAATCCCAGAACATTGCAGCTCAAGCTCATAAACTTTCAGATGCCTTAAAAGAACTGTTTAAGAATGAAATACATATAAAACAAGAAATAAAACTAGCAACTGATGAAATCTTTATGGCTAAAGTTAATTTAACTGGAAGTGAAAAGTTTAATGTTGAAAACTGAATGTCTATGCAGTAAGAAGAACACAAATGTTCACAAAATCTTAAAAACTGATTAATTTTATTTTGCCATCAACTTGAAGCCCCTATTGTTTTGAAGGCTGACTGAATGGTAATTCCTTAATTTTCACACAAGAGTCCCAGTTTCGTTGACCAATATACCAACTAAACTTACCAATATTCTCAAATTCTTTCCCATAGTTGCGTAACTCCTCATATATCTCCGTCTCCAAGTCATCTTCAGCTGCTTCATGAGCCATAGCTTTATAGAGCTTGCAGGCCACCAGAGCTTTAGCTAGTGCTTCTTCGCCATGTTGCCACATGAGCAAAGCCATCTGTTGCCTCTTGGTCAACACTGCCCATGTCTAAAACAAGTACAGTGTTTTGCAGTATCCATTTTTCTCTCACACAATGATCTACAAACAACAAACACCATTCAAGCTGAGCTATTGCGCAACAATGGCAGGACACTGCAATGTCTTGGTCACTGGATAAGTAAATGTTCTTCCATCAAACTGAGAGACCAAGTCTCACAATCATGTAACAGATACAATTATGGTGATGTTGGTCTTCCTGGTTGTAATACTGTGTGTCTCCATTTTCAGCCTTAAAGATAAAGCAGTATGTTTCTCCAAAATGTTAGTATCCATCTACAAGTCCACATGGTGTTACACTCTACAAGACCAACATCTGACATCTTCACCATTGTGAGAACCTCAAACCTGACACAATTATGGGTATTCTTATCTGTTAGTCTAAATATAAATGCGGAGGAAACAAGTACACATTTATGTTATGTCACCAGAATACATGTTAAATCATCAAATTAAAGACAGCTCATAAATCCTTTGAAATGTGTAAAATATTCAAAGCATCTGGGAACAGCAGCAAACCAAAATTACATTCACAAAGAAGATGACAATGTCCTTTTAGGTTTTGACACATAGCATCAAAACTCAGAACAACAATATCGACATCCTCATTGATGTGTTAACCTCAAATCTCACATTCGTTTCCTACCATTTGGTCCAGCCTGCTATTTAAAATTCTCCCAAAACATTAAAAAAATGCTACCACGTTCTCTTCATTGAAAATGACAATTGAAAGTTCATTTTGTGCAAGTCTGCATGTTACATGTAAGAAATAAGCACTCACAAGCAGTTCGTTGAATGGATAATCAAACAAAGCAGCCTCCTTTGAAGTTGGGAGGGTTTCTGCCAGGAGACTCAATGTCACATTGGTGTTTCCATAGTAACGGATAAAGGATGAGCTGTTTCGATGAACATGTGGTGACTTCTTCATCACTTTGGCATAGATGAGCCGGAATTTGCGTCGAGTGTAATACGACCTTAAGACAAAATCACACACCTCACAAAATGCAGTGCCACTAAACAATTGAGGTAATGGAAAAACAGAGACAATATGGAGCTTCATAATTTCATTTTCTGTTTAATATTGTTAGAATGATTAAATCATAAAATGAAACAGATGCAGGATGTTGCATGAAAAGGGACATGAGAAAACAGAAACCCCAGAGGCGAAGAGACCTGGGAGACATAGAAAAGGGGTAAAGTTATAGTTTTATACATCTTAACATGTTAAAAATTTGTTCCCAAGTCTGGCTGGAAATTATTATTTTTCCTTCTTTCAGAAAAGGGGATTTACCCTTGTGTATGAAATAAATATGCCTGACATACAAGAATGTGACACTCACAAAATTCCCTACCTAAGTTAACTTGTGAAAGTTAATCTTCAGGTGCTTAGAAAAATTCTTAATTGAATAATAACATGTACTTCACACATTTAATTTTCTCTCAATTTTATCATGAATGTTATTTTGATTTGTTACTATCATCTATTGAGAACACAGACATCATAGTAACCTGTAAGCTCCACCCATCAGTTTGTTGATGACCAATCCTATATCATGCAGAGTGTAAATGTAGCCTCGGGGAATATGAGGTCGAACATCTCTTAGAATGTAGCCCAATGTGTTTGAAGGTCCTTGTTTCTGAAAAACAAACACAAATGTTGAAAAACCTCAAGGTTGAAATCAACAATTTACATTACTTCATTTTCAGCCTAATTACTGAATTCATCTATAAGTAACTTATTCCTCAACAACTTTTCATTGCTTAGGAAGCTGGCCTCAGGAAATGTTCAATTTTTATTATTTTTTAAGTGTATCATTGCAGTAATGTGTTGTAATTAAATGTCAAAAAAATTAATTTTTCGCAGTAATGTGTTGTAATTAAATGTCAAGAAAATTATTTTTTTAAATTCATAAAATATTTTAAAAAAGTACTGATGAAGTAACTAGAAAATGTAATTTAATGAAATCAAATGAAGATGTTATATTGCGCACACCTGCAATCAGTTTAAAATGTGTCTAATGACACAGACAGGGACAATTGCCTCCTTGGGGAAACTTTTAACTTGTGATTGCCATTTCTGCAAGACTATCTAAGTATGTGCAGTATGTTTTAAATCAAATGGCAGGTAATTGTAGGGGCATGGACATTGTTTTGCATGGCATACACATACCGAGTAGTAGCATAACACTAGTAATTTTCTTTAAATCAGTGAGTTTTATAAAACTTTGTGTCAAACACGTGTATTTTACCAATACCTGTAACTTTTATTCAAGAAATTTCTCTCTTTGGTGAGTAGTTCACAAAATATGCCCAAAAATATTCCTATGTCTTCCAGTGATGTGGACCTTAAATCAAATTAAAAATAAATTAAACTCACACAAAGCAGAACTATAAAAACCTGTCAAATGACTAAAACTAAACAAAAATCAAAACTGTTCAATAAAATTTTGTATAAAATGTCCACTGTTCATCTAAATCAGTGATATAATTCTGGCACTGTTATTTGATAATGAAAATTACTAATGAAGCTTTGTGACATAACAAAACACAGCACTGCACATTATACGCACAGCAGAAACTTTAGAATGATGTAGTGTTAGCCGAATATTTTGCAGAGACTAGGACAGCACATTTCACCACAGTAGTTTGTGACTTACCGTGTTGTATAGCTCCTCAAGACGAGGTATAGACAGGAACTTCCTCATATGAACTCCATTCTCCAGTAGAAGTTTAACAAAGTCAATACGATCATGTTCAAGCGCCTGCATCATGGCCTCATCCAGAGCCCCTTCCACAGAAACAAGGAGTTCAGTAACTCAACACCACATTATTAGTTTTAAGTGAGACATCAAGCAGGAAACACTTACCTGGAGGCCATTCTTGTCCATACACAAATATTTCAGAACGTGCAATATCCACTCGATTCCACGTGAGAGCAAGGCTCAGTTGTTCAGATGGAGACAAGTGCTGACTCTTAAAAAGAGCTGTAAGGATCGTCTGATCAAGTTCTTGAGATGTCTCCTCTGGTCGGTCTGTGATACGGAACACAGTGATCTGAAATTGAGAAGAAACATCTTCTTAATTGCACTAAGTAAGTCTCAAGTAAACCTTTGCCATTCCTTAAACTCCACGAACACTACCTTTCAGCTCAATAATTGTGTAACACAGTAGTGCTGTCACTCATATGTCATATAAAACATTCCTTTCTCGTTGACATTGAGGTTTCTTTAACCTCCTGTTCCTTGGATATGTACCACAATGAAAGATATTTTCTTAGTCACCAAGGGGTCTAACCAAGTTATAAAGATTAATATATTGTTAATTAGTTATACAGAGTGGGTAAGTGTGGATAAGAATCAATAAGTGATTGTACAGATATCCCTGTCTGTATCATCATCAATAGTGCTACAACTCCCTTAGAGTCTTGGCTTTCTTTAAGAGCCATTGCCACTCTTCTTTATTCAGAGTAATTGCCCACCACCTTCTAAACCTTATCTTCCTGGCGTCAGTATTGACTTCCACGTCTGTATGCTGGACAAAAATAATAGTTTCACATTATTCTTCCAAAATACTGTGTGCATCACTTTTGAGTATTCTTAAAGCAAAAACTCTGTAGTGCATACATTATTCCTCCTCTGACTGTCCACTAAACATTCACTTGTCTAGATGCGAGAAAGAGCCACACATTCATTACTTACCAGATTCTTTTTTCGAGTGCACTGCAGCAGTTCCGAGTAAAGACACTCAGCCTGTTCCACACCCACTTCAAACGTGCGTTCTATGGTGCTGATCAAGTAATCCTTCATGCTTTCCAGGACAGTCTGCTCCCCAGATTCAGATGCATACCTACAAAAAAACAAAGCAAAACCCAACTACTATCTGAAAACACGTTTAAACCCGTGGACCTTGGGCCCAGTGGCAAGCACGCTAACCACTAGTCCACCGAGGGCGACCAGGTCACACTTACTTGTGAGTAAAAGCCAGAAGATCTGCTGCACGCCCTGATCCATCGCACACTACTACTGGGACAGGGGGCGTATCTGTCACGTATTCCAGCACTGCTCTAATGGTGTTGGTGCCACCTTCTATCACAAGACACACCACTGGAGTGCTGCAGTGAGTACCTACAACAATAGTTAGAGAACAAGGTCTGATGGTATTCGACTGCAGAGAAATGATAACAGCTTAGGATGGTGCAAACACATGGGGCTCCTGCATCGGACTGTCACCGACAGTTACAGCTAACTTTTTTTGCAAGGACAGACAGGACAGTTCTGCCCAACTTCCACACAAGGAACTGTAATCCATACCTTGATGCAATTTCTGAATGGATATGTACTTCTCCAGTTTTCTTCTTAGAATGAGCTCTGCTCCATATTTTCCTGAAGTTCCATTGTCAACCAGCAGGAAATACGCATGCCGATTATTCAGAACTGCGTACTTAGACCTAAAACAAACGCACTCATAAACAAGTACATGAAAAACTGTTCCTTACAACAGACTGAGGTAACAAGTACACCAACTGGCATTAATTAGTTTTCGTACAAGTACCATATCAATGAGAAAACAACCCTACATATTCATCATATCTGGCAAATCTATGAAGAATTAGCATAACTATGACTGGTTCATGATACTGTCATTTCCTCAGATATCGAAGTGGGAAAATATTGGATGTAAGGAGAACTTACTACCTGAACATAAATTTTTAAGTTAATTTAATGATATACTTTTGTCCAGAAAAAATCATAAGTCTGTGTTAATACATTCAGAAAGTACATATTTTTGATGTCAAGTTATATTTACTTTAGCCATCACACATAAACTTTATAAACCAATATAAACAATTGTATTCTCACTTGTTTCGGTCAATGCCGGCCATCATGAGGCAATCAATACAATGGACTGATAAAACACTACTCAATGAATTGTAAATGGTATCCATTTTCTAACATGCAGGTAGGATCCTCGTTGCATTTACATCAATAGTGAATAAAAATTTCATACATACGAGCACGTATAATTTTTGTTACTATATTACAGATAACAATTATTATCACCGTAAAAACTCTCAGAACCTATTTTATTGTCACATTATCTTTTATAGTCGTCTAAATCATTTATCTCAAAAGGCTGAATCTTATAGTTCAAGTTATTTTTACAACATAATTATCTGTTTTAGTCTTTAAAACACATAAGATTCTTCAATAAAATTCTGTTCCTTCCTTATTTAATTTATAACTGACTTTACACTTTATTTAAGTGCATATGCCACAGAATTAGATACCATCCACTTGCATTCCACCAAAATGCTGACCCTGCTGCCTCAATCTGGCATTCAGTACCTGGGTGAGGATATGGAGTGATACGGGATATCACGGTTATGTCCGCAGAGCTCGTGGTTGTTCTCGACAATGCCCCAGGGAGCTATGCCAATGCTAATCACTCGTCCACTGCGTTGGGAACGTTCCAGCAGCAATGCGTCGCCAACCTGCCTCGTCACACCTGCCAACATTCGTGTATAAGACAGAAAATTGCACCATCACATGCACAAAGAACACAAAGAAAAATCCAGGATGGGCAATCAGTGACTTACACAACCCACCCTGTTTGATCAGACAGTCAAACTGATGGCCTGGGAATGTAGCTCAGATGGAAGAAACAACAAATGAATATAGAATTTTTGTACGAAAGTGGTCAGTTGGAAGACTGTGAGAATGAAGAATGATCTTCAGGTTGAGCTGTGGAGATGAGAACTGGGAGACGTCCAATGGCACGATCTTGTTATCCGTAGCGCAACCAGTAACACTTGCAGACACTCTTAAGGATAAGTTTTACATAATTATGACTTTATCTGTTCTTTTACGGTGACTCACTCAAAGGGAAAGCGTCTGAAAACACAGTTGCGATAAAAATATATTGACCTACGACGGATGAAGTGACAGGAGGGTGAAAAACAACTGCATAATGATAAGTTTCATAATTTGTATCTTTCACCAAATACGCAATGTACAACATAAAGTTGATATAATTAATCAACAAGTCACAAACATCTGCAGAATCAGTATTCAAGCAATTGAGGCACCGATTATGAGATGCGGAGATAAGAAAAAAAAGCTCAAACAACAGACTACTACGAAGAACTGTATATAGTTGGAAGGACATTATTAAATGGACATTAAAGAAATTGTGTATGAAGATGTGGAAAGGATTCCACTGCCTGAGAATAGGGTGAATAATGAACCTTCAGGGTGCATAATAGAATCAGAGAATTTATTGAGCAACTGAAGGACCATCAGCTCCTCAAGACAGGACTGAACATCGCATCACACCTGTGTTTGTGCCACCAGTAAAGATCCATGCTCCAGTGGTCTTTGCAGCCTTCAGCAAGCCCTTGCGCAGAACTTTCTTGAGCTTCGGCTGCAGCTCAAAGTTGGCTTTGCCTCCCTGCACTGTGATAAGCAGTTTTGGCAGCTCCAAGCTCCACTCCCTGGTGAAGAGCTGCAAGATCAGTTCCGGTCTGGTGTCATATGCCAGGCGCACATACTGAAACAACAGCACTAGTCTGCTAAGGCACAGTGGCAACTTTACAATCACAATAACAAAAACAAACACACAGAGCAGCGTGGTGCAGTGGTTAGCATTCCTACTTCTTACTCAGAACGTAAGTTCCGGAGTGGAATCTCAAATATTTGTTTATTTAATGATGATTAATGAATAATGAAGTAGAAATCATATGTAAAGAATTGGCAATGGTAAGGGCCTCGAAGGCGTCAGAAAACCCAACAAAACCCTTGCCTTGATCACGTATGTCGGTCATTCTCACCTGGGCTTTGCTCGGGTGTGGCCCGCCCTGAAACTCGATGGTGCCATAAGCGTCAGTCGGCGACGGCTGTGTGTTCCTGGATGGTGTCCACTGCTGCTGCTCCAGCACCTTGTAACTGTCCACGTCCAAACCCGTGCCACAGTGGAAGGTGAAGGACAGACCACAGAAGCACCTGGACACAATCAGGCCGCGATTTTATATACCGAGGTCTGATGGGTTGTGCTTTACGTGTATGACCTGCGATTACTACAAACGTTTATTAATTTCCCCATTTACTATGTTCGCTCCTTGAGCTTTAAGTGGCACGCGCTTCAACTTAAATCAAACTATACAACATGCAACAGTAGAGATGTTTCCCGATGCTCCATAATTTACCGACAGGCCTGTTTGTTGCAATGTTCTTTTATGAAACAGCCCTTTTCTCGACTTCTCACCACATCTGAGAGCAGACTTATACTTCTATCTGCTGCAATTAGTTGGTTTCGAAGGATAGCAACGTTTACTGAGGTTCGGACAGACCGACAGGTGTTCCAAAGCAGATCATTTCGAGCGTGCGGTCTGTCAGCAGCACGAGGGGGCGAACGCCGCTGATCGATGCTGCCTGCCCCGTCTCCGGCCGCCCACGGGACGAATGCAAGTCTATACATTACCCGACTGCAAAGACAGGAAATGCAAACTGTTCGGTCCAGTATTTAGCCTGCGTCTCGCAGTCTATTTCACCGAAGTTCGCCGAGTTTAATCCGATCCCGACTTTTATACATTATATAATGTCAAGTTCATTATCATCTGCAACTATCTCCCCCCCCCCCCCCCCCCCCGCCGCATTCAAATAGGAGTTAACAGCTTATTTTGTCCTGCACTCTGAAGAACAGACATGAACATAGGCCTACACGTCCTCATCCACTGTGTTCACTTCTGGACCAATTTCCTTACCAGCGTCTAACAATTGCTGTGTCTTCTTTATGATATTTACGTTTTCGCCCAATGAATGGAAATCAGCACACACCACAAGCTTACATGTCCCATTAATTTCTAATTCCTCCTGATTATCTTCAACATTAAATTGTTTGGGCGATAAGATAGGCAGGACATGTAGCATGCATGAGGAATTAGTCTATAAAATGTTGATCAGAAGAACCTCACGAGAAAATAGAACTTGGGAGACATGGTTTGGATGGAAGGATAATATTAAAATGGATCTGGAGGGAAAACTTTTGGAGAGATGCGGATGAGGACAGTGGCGAACTATTGTGAACATGGTGATGAACGTTTGGGTTCTACAAAACCAGAGCATTTCTTAAGCAGTTTAGTATGACCTGCATCGCCGTGTGAATTAATAATAAACTTAACAGGCACGTCACAGGGTGGAATAATCACAGTGATCGATATTTGACAGTTACCTTACATAAGGTCGTTATTCCACCATAAAACGTGATTTGTGACCTCCTGTTTTCCTGCCGCTGGGCTCAAGCTGATTATTTTAGATGTTTAACGACGCAAATAATAAACCCTATACAAATCATTATAAAAAGTCTGTAATGAACTCCGTAACACACAACATTTACGCATAGTTCTGTATCAAACCCTTCATTCCCTTCTCCGACCCGCGACACAGGATCAAATCACAAAATCGGATCGCCCACACGCATGTAGGACGACGAGTCTGACGACGAAAGCTCTGGGCCCAGCGCCCGGAGTTCCTTTTTAAAACAAACTGTGCGCCTACTGGCCATGAAGTCGCTTATATACTACGTTTGTTTTACAAATGTATGTGTGTAGAAATATGAGTCCCGTCAACCAGTGTTTTGTTATTTATCTCCTCTCCCCCCAAGTACCTGCATGACGTATAGTGGGACAGTTTTACTCTTATAGCGCCGTGGGGCTACATAGTGATAGATTGCTGAAAAAAAAACGGTTGCCAGGCAACGAAATAACAGTGCACAAAGACCGATTTTACACAACGAAATTGGTAAAGGTCTACTAGAAACCAAACCCAGGACGGGAAGGAACGGAGAACAATGCAAGATGCACGCCAGACTCAACTTGAACGGTTATTACAGAAACTACAGCAGCGCTCAGATCAGATGAAATAATTATAAGGTCGCGACACGGTTCCCACAGCTGCACCGCGTCACGGTGACGTAAGGTCGCTTTTAAACGAGCGAGGCTTGTCTGCGTAAAATGTTTGCTGACGCTGAATCAGATGTGTATGTTGCACCTGGCGGAATCATAAGTGTCAAGACGAGACAGCGGCCTTCGGTCAGTCCCAAGAAATGAAGGCACTTCACCGAAATTCGAACTGCGTTCTGTTTAACTTTCAAATTGAGGATCGCAGCAGTCTTACCAACACTTACACCACAAATGATCTGGATGTCTGGTCTTCCAAGCGCCTGTCTTATTTGAAACGGCTCAAGTCGACCAGGCATTGTGTCGTAGTGACGTGACCTGTACAGTTTCTGGTGCCATTAAACTCCCCAAAGTCTGATCCGTCTGAACCCTAAAACACGCACTCCAAAGGCAAGCAATCGATACCCGTGCACCGGGACTTTGCTCGAAAGGTGCCACGCGGGCCAATCAATACTAGGGGTACCTCGCGTGTACCTCGCGTGAGGCAAACAATAATAAAACCCGTTGCCAGCAGAAGTTGGACTGGACAGCTGTCCTTTGCGCGCACACTTGTTGAGCAAGTAATTAGCTCAATGACATATTATTCACCCTACCTGAAATCCTGAAATACCGGTATTATATTAAATCGCAAATTTCATTACAAAACTGCCATTTAGAACATTACATAGGTCGCCCTGCAGCTAAAGTATTTCGACTGTCATCCAATTACGTGTCGCCGTCGTGAAAGTAGGTATTCCAGTGGGTTAATTATTCGTGCACTTATTAAACACGTCTGAAATCTTTAACTGAATTTATCTTTTCGTGCCAACAACACAAAGTGTGCTGAAACCCGGTAACACACAGTCGGATATGATGTCTGCCCTTGCAATGTTTCCTAGTCAAATTTAATTTTTTTATTCTTGCAACACAGACAAGAAAGAGGTGATTTTAGTGCATGGCATTTTCGGTGGCAGTTTCTAGAAAAATATAAAAGTAAATATTTGCGAACGCAATCCGTAGTAAAATGAAACAAAGGCGTCTTTGTCACAAAAGTTAAAACTCGCAATTTAAAAGTATCATTAAGAAGGTACTTAAATACACACTCGTTTTACTCTGTTGATGAATTTCGAACGCTTGAAAATGCCTCATAATGTTTTTAAAGGTTTTCTTGCCTTCGTATAGCATAAACGGGTGGTATAATTTACTTGCTGTTTATGTGTGGATTTATTTGAAACGGTTCATTACTTTATGCGAAATTTTTACTTTGTGTGAAAAGTTTACAATACAGGTAGCCCTCGATTTGCGCCGGTTCAATTTGCGCCGATTCAGAATAACGCCGCTTTTGAAACCAGCAAGTTACTATTATTTATAACGTTTTACAATGTTTCTCGTAATGATATACTAAATCGTAATTCTCACATCGCTGATTTTAAATAAAAATTATAAATACAGTCATCTCTCCACTTACGTATGTTTCGTTAACGCGAATTTGCTCCAATGAGATCGATGAATTGGTAAAAACTGTTTGTGAAATACAAACTTCTGCATATGTGAGTTTGCTTTTATGCGATTTAAACTTTCAAAGGACTAATTTAATCTCTGCGGAGGTACCGGGGTTATTTTTACTACGAGATTTTCTATAGGTCGGCGTCTTACATGAATGCAACTATCGCATAACAGCAGAGATGACTGTACACATCAATCACACGAAAGAATCGCAGTCAATGGCGGGGACCAACAAATTGCCGTTTGTAAGTGTATAAAATATATTTTTTAAATTCCCTTTACTTTATTTACGTTATTTCAGAGGTTTAAATATAATGCCATTATATTACTCGTCAATGTTTGGGTGCTGGGAACGCATGCCATTGACTTCCCATTGATTTACATTATAAAAAGAGTTCCCATTTACGCCGGTTCGTCCAGGAACGCATCCCCGGCGTAAATCGAGGGTTAACTGTAGTTTTAATTGCACGTTTATAACTTATTCCACGTCCTACAGTCATATGATGGAGCGAAATGAATAGAGTCCGGTTGCGGGCTTTTGTGGAAACGGTAATGAACTTTCGGATTCCATAAAGAAATTGGGCTATTCTTTGACAAACCGAGTAACAATCGACTTTTCAAAGAATATCCTGCACCATAGAGTGAATGAGTGTTGTCACATGACCAACTTATGGATCCAATAAATGTAATAATATGTATGTACACGGAATGCGCGCAGCGAAAGCAAGCAGGCAGTCTGACGTAGCGTTAAGTGCTGTGTTTCGTAAATACGGTTCTAAATTAAGAACAGTACATGCAAGTAACATCAAGTCGTTTAGTGAAAACCGAGATAAGCACAAAGTGTCGAAAGCCAAATAATGTACATTAGTGTGTCACCAGTATACATGACCCTCATAAACGTTCCTCTTCAGTTGACACTAGTCGGAAGATTACAATTTTTCGGGTCCAGATGTCGCGTACGCCGGTTGACAAACACGAAACTCGCGGACACGCAAAACAAGAAAAACACACGTGAGATTTTGTGTGGGTAGACGGCCTCTTCCTTTGGGGGTTTCCCAACCAAAATTTTGTACAAACTTCGACGTTCATTGAGTACTTCTGTTCGCTCTTTATACTTGCTGTCTCCTGCGTCCAAACATTCATCTGAGGGCTTGAGAGGAAAAGACCAAGTCTCACAGTTCGATTAAACACATTGTGGTATAGGTTTTTATATTCAACACAGGAAGGCGAACGATTCTGCATTCTCGGAAATTGACCCAAATGCGTGACGTCTTCAAGCGGAACACAGCGCAGTGTGTTGATAAGAAAGAGTCCAAGCAGCACTAGGCTGAACAATAGCCAGGGTTGGATAC